TTCCGTGTCTGGCAGCGAAGTACCAGTAATGTATATCCACATTCTTCACTCCATTCCTAGGATGACATCATTGTATCCTGTGATCATTCCGTGCAGGACTTCGTGTCTGCTAAGCATTCTGGGGCTGATCAACTAAGGTGTAGTACAATTTAGTCCCGGGACAGTATGTGTGTGTGTGTATGTATATGTGTGTGTGTATATATATATGTATATGAAACCATATAGATAATATACAGAGAGAGAGACTAGAAATTGTAGCCGTATTAGTCACTCATGCAGATGTAAAATAACAAATGGCATTTGTATCTTGTAATATGTTTTTTACTGGACTAACAGAATTTTGTATTGACAAGCCTAAAGGACCACTATAGTGCCAGGAAAACATACTCTGTTTCCTGGCACTATAGTGCCCTCAGGGTGCCCCCACCCTCAGGGTCCGCCTCCCGCCCGGCTCTGGAAAGGGGAAAAGGGGTTAAACTTACCTTTTTCCAGCGCTGGGCGGAGAGCTCTCCTCCTCTGATCCTCCTCTTCTCCTCCCCGTCGGCTGAATGCGCATGCGCGGCAAGAGCTGCGCGCGTATTCAGCCGGTCACATAGGAAAGCATTCATAATGCTTTCCTATGGACGCTGGCGTGCTCTCACTGTGAAAATCACAGTGAGAAGCACGCAAGCGCCTCTAGTGGCTGTCAATGAGACAGCCACTAGAGGATTAGGGGGGAAGGCTTAACCCATTCATAAACATAGCAGTTTCTCTGAAACTGCTATGTTTATGAAAAAATGGGTTAACCCTAGCTGGACCTGGCACCCAGACCACTTCATTAAGCTGAAGTGGTCTGGGTGCCTAGAGAGGGCCTTTAAGGGAGAGCCTCTCTTTCTAAAGTCCAAAGCATTTCTGAGTAAAGACGACGCATAAAATTCAAAGTTGAGTTTTGACATGGGGGTTAAAATTACATCTTTTTATCAGACTGTTACACATACATCTGAGACTTCAGTGATTGGGTTGTTATATATTATTTGTAACACTCCTGGTCATTTGTATACATCAGTGTTGTCTGAGTAAAACCTTATTCTTGTTAGTAGTTTGTGTCCATAGGTCTTATGAAGTTTAACAAAGAGAGTGATAGATTATACTGTGCATGTGTGGAGACAGGGGAGAGCTGGGAACTTTTGACATTTTGTCCAAGTACAGATAAGTTGCCTTTTCTTGTGCACAAAACTCCTAAATCTCTCAGTTCTTTCAAGGAACACTATAGTGTCAGGAATACAAACATGTATTCCTGACACTATAGGTCCAAATCACCATTTAAATTACTGGCCCCTTAAAAGGCATTGTATACAGCCTGTCCCTGCAGGCTTTTTGATGTAGACACCAAAACAACTACATTAAGCTGTAGTTGTCCTGGTGACTATAGTGTCCCTTTAAAAGCTGTGAACAGGCTTTACAGAATGCGCTCCACAGGTGCCCACTCTAGGTCGTATGATAAATTCTTCACTAGTTATGATGAAGAGTCTTTGTGGTGAGGCCAGTATTTAGCTATCATCATTAGATGAATCTATTCAGGACCAGACTGTTTTCCACGAACCCAAACACCTCCAGGGACGTCATACATACTCCTCATAGTCTGGTTGCGTGGTAAACTCCAGATACTGCAGTCCAGGCCTGGAGAACATTGAGACATCAGCTCATGCCCAAA